GCTCCGCCCACTTCCTCAAAGGACGATAGTTGTTCTGTTTTTACAGCAGCCACAGAGAACAGAGATGCCGGGATTCATTTTTGTCTTTGATGACAATGTTCTAACAATATTGCCAAAGAAAGCTGTAGTTTGTGAAAATAATTTCACTTTGGAAACTTCTACCATGTTGGGGGGTGGAGCTAACGTAAACAAACGGATGGGAGGGGGTTTCCATAGTAACTTCTGTATACAGCACGTTCTGNTAAATCAAATGAACATGTTTTGTATAGCCCACAGATGGATCCTAACTTGTGCTAAGACCCCCATAATAGGCAGCCTTTAATCCTTGTGCGGATGTGATGGGTCACATATTGAGTCAGACTTGGTGTGGTAGTAGCTGAGAGTCCTCCTCAACAGRTCATGAGTTTTACACAAGATAAAACCAAACTTTATTTAGACGGTTTGATGAAAGAAGCTCTGACTCCGCCCCCTTTAATCAGAAGATGGTTTTATGCATTTATTGAAGGACTTTAAATCTTTTATCTACAATCAGGAATCAGTGGGTAAAAGTTCAGAATAGGAACCGGACTGAGACAAACCAGTGGTTCTGTGGACAAACTGGACCTCAGCTAAACTTTCTGCTCCAGAAAAATTTAAGACATAAACTCCTTAAAGTGGAACGTCCACAAAGGACCAGGATTAGGTTCTGTTGATGCTCGTCTAAAGGTGTTAATGTGAATGTGTCTGAGGGTCCGTCATGTCTTTACTGCCTTAATTGTTTCATTCTGTCTTAGTTTCATCTGATGTTTCTTATGTTTCTGTTCAGTTTTATGTTCTTCACATTTTCTTTAAATAATGAATATTTTCTTTTATGGAAGTTTTCCTGTTATTGTGTCTTCTAATAACTTCTAATAAATGTTTTAAATCTCAGAGTCTAACTAGAGCAATTGTATCTTTTGCGGCTGAGTGCTGATGACTGAGTTCTTATCGGTGAAAGGGGCAAAAAAGCTGAAATCTAAACGTAGCAAAGTCCTTGTTATGGAWTAATTATGTATATCTGTTCTACCTTGACACTGTCCAGTAATCATACAGTATCTCATGATAACTAGTTTCAGCTGTTTTACTCTATCGGCCCAGACTTCAAGACTCCAGCAATGCATGACCTCTTTTATTTTGATAAGGTGTTTCCGGGCTGACAGCTCTGTCATTGGTTAGATAGTTCACAGTTGGTGAACTGTGATTGGTTGTAAACGTGTTACAGGATGTTATATTATGGCTGCTCTGCGCTGATGCGGCAGCCACAACTGGACAGACTTCACTGATTGACTTCTGCTCTGTTGTTGCTCAGATTAAATCATTTGACCACCATACACGCAGACTTTCTGTGCATTTATTCCAACGTGTTTCTGCATTCTTGGTAAATCCTGCCACCACAATTTTTGGCGTTGTCGTTATCGGAGCTCCAAGGACCGGAGTTTGCCCGCAGCGACCGACGTTTTCAGACGACCACTGGACAATGGGAGAAGAAGGCTTTTGTTTTTTCAGCTTCTGAGAAAGCTGACCTGTCTTCCTCTGCTGATCGTGTCCGGGTTGGGATGTCTTTACTTCGGGCGCTGTGGGTAACCTTTGGGACTGGAGCTGAAAAGAACCTGTCTGTGACAGAAACACGGTGAGCTMATATTTTCAGTAGCACCTTATGCAAAAAGCTACGGCTAATTTTCGGCCCACCACACACTGAAATTCTAATTGTTAGACGCTCGTCTGGTCGCTTCTGCGGTTGTTGATTTTAGCCGAGGTAGATTTTGGGAGCGTTTTATTCCAAACTGAGTCAAAACAGGGAGTTTAGCTTTCTGTTTTGAAGTAGCCAAGAGGACATTGTTTGTCTTGGTGAGTGTAGGCAGTTTAGATATGATTAAACTGCTGAGGGAAAATGTAATTTTCCGTTTTTGTTTCTGTTGAGGAGACACAGTAGGTTAAAAGTCATTTTTTAAAGGCGGCCGCCCAATTTTCATTATAAGAAAGTTGCATACGGTAGTGCGCTGGGCACGAGTTGTAACAATGGGCCTCATGCAAGAACATGTTCGTATTCTTCTCTTAAATTTCTCTTATTTTTGTTCGTACAAAGGGTTCGTA